TAGATTACTTAAAAATTTAGTCTAGTTGAACTTTATCTTGTATTTTATTATTATAAAAAGAATTGTACCCCTATCTCGAAGGCCTTCACCATTCCTATTCTAGCAATCGACATTATGAAAGAGATTAATCACGAAATGTTCCACAAAAGGTTATTTCATGCATTATTCTAAAAACTACGTTTAGAATAATTTCGCACTTCTTTTATTTTGTTTACTATGTTGGTATATGTATACAACAAGAAATGACTAATCCAATTGAGTATTATTTTGATCCTATTTGGGAGTAACTTTTCTAGAAATGTTACTGCATACACATAATCGAATATACACAAATTGTACATTAATAAAATTATATATGTATTATCACCATAATAAGAATTTTTAAAAGATGAAAAATTGCACAAAATTTGGGAAATGAATACAAAATATTTGTAAATGGAGTTTTTTTTTTTTTTTTTTTTTTTGGGGGGGGAGGGGGGGTGGGGGTATGTGGGAAGAAAACAACAAGAACAAGTAACGTCATATAAAAATTTAGGCTAAATAATAAATGCATGGGCAGTTATTATACCATGAATCAGGGTCTATCTTGTAAGGTGGACCATGATCCTTCTTGCAAGGTGGACCTTAATTCTAAATTGTGTGTTTTTAATATTGAAATTGTGAATTTTTAGAATATAAATTGTGTTTTTAAGTTTCAGAAATTTGTAAATACAATATAGGGACATAGGGTCATCACAAATTATGAATTTTCAATAAATAAATTGTGAACATTTAGTGTGTAAATGGTGTATCTTTAGAATCGTGTTTACATTGCAAGGTTGTTAGCAATAAGCACACACAAAGTTCCTGAAGAGGATATAATTTTTAAAAAGGGCAAATGAAGACCAAATAAGCCCTAATATGATGTTATCTAAATCTAATGAGCGCATTTTTCATTCAGATTGTAAATAGTTTTTATCATTGGTTAAATATTTAGTAAGAGTTTCTTTTTTTTTTTTTTTTCTTTTTTGAGAAAAGACAAACTAGTTAGGGACAAGTGCCCCCTTGCTGTGGAACCGTGTCCACCTTACAAGATGGACACGGTTCTATGTTCATAATTACTGAATTATATATATGTTTAATTATAAAGCTACATATTCATAAATTTTAAACTTCATATTCATAATTATTGAACTCTATATTTACAATTATAAAACTCTGTATTCATAATTACTGAACTATATGTTCATAATTATAAAACTATATATTCATAATTTTTGAACTTCATATTCACAATTATTGAATCTCTACATATTCATAATTATAGAACTATATGTTCATAATTATACAACTATATATTCATAATTATACAACTATTTTATATGTTCATAATTTTTGAACTATATATTAATAATTATTAATAGTATTAAAATTGTCTCCACCTTGCAAGGTGGACAAGATTCCACAGCATAATTTACCCCATTTACCCCTTCCTGTCATTCTCAAGAGGGAACACCACTACATTATTGTTGTGCTATTTTTACCAATATGAATGACTACTTGACTAGTTTAAGATGAGAGGAGATGACAACATTGACTTTTGTTTCTGAGGGAGATGTTCAGAAATTTCTTATTCGTCATCAATAACTGCTCTGATCGCGATGGACTCCAATAAAAATTCATAAATTTGCATATAGGTAGACATGCCAAAATTTAATGTTAATTGATTTAGTAGTATGCATAACCTGATTTTTAGTAACTATATTTTTCAATCGAATTTTTAGTAAACTCCTAAACTAATTAAATCGGTTGAACTCGAAAAAAATAATAAAAGAAAAATATGAAAAAACAAAAATATCCTTACTAAAAATAAGAAAATTCATGAGAAGGACTAAAAGTGTCCTAAAAAATAATAGTCTGAGACATTAAATAGCAAAAATGATAGTCTGGGCCTAAATTTGGAATTGCCACCAAAGACAAAGGACCTCTGGTGGAATTAACTTATCTTATAGGTTACACTTGTGTGAGAAATCCGTTAGGTGGGTCGGATAAATATGCAAATGTAATACTTTTACATTAAAATGTAAAAGTATTACATTTTTCCATATAAGTAATAAATTAAACATTTTATTTCTGATTTAGTATTACATTTGTTAGTATAAATATTAAATTTAATCTTGACCCGGCCCGTCTTATGGACAAGGATCATGAAACGGTCTCACACAAGTTTTTGCTATATCTTTTACTAATACTTCAATGGTTAAAAAAAGAGTTAATTCGAACAATGGTCCTCCGACTATATTGATTTTCCACAGTTGATCCTCGACTTTTAATTTGGACAATTTAGACACTTGACTTTCGAAATATTTCCAATGTTGGTCCTTCCGTCAGTTGAAGGTTAAGTGGATGTTAGTTTGAGGGGTGAAGTAGTCATTACACTTGCTTAGAATATAATTCATTGTCTTTCTCCCTTTCGAATGTCATGCTTCGAGTTGTCAAATATCGCCTTGGTAAACAACCTCAATGCAGATCTTAAAGCCCCCGATGCAGCCAAACCTGCAAGGAACGACTGAAAAGATTGCACCAAAGTAACATTTCAGAAACAAAAATCAAAAAAAAAAAAAAAAAAAAAAAAAAAAAAAAAAAAAAAAAAAACGTAATAGTAATATGTGGAATCAAACAAATCATCGTACTTGAACAAACTCAGGCAACATGAGTGAAAGGTCACCGATCATACCACCTTGAACATAAGCATCAGCAACTCCAAATAAACCACTGCACACACATATTCCAGAAAAGTTGGAAATCATGGAGTGAAAAATGCAGACTCAATATTTTACTTCAGGAAGCATGCACCAAAATGAATCTACAATTTTCATAAAGCACCCCACACACCTAGAATAACAAAAATAGCAAAATGTCCCGTAGTGGAAATCAAAGGATATATAGTAACAACAAATTAACCCACAATACATAGTCCGTCTATAACAGTTCATTGAAACATCTCATTTCTTTCACGAAGCACAAAATCGATGTCGGAAAACGCCATCTCGAAGCACCAAATCAGAAGTTGCTAAATCCAGCTGTCATATTCCTCCCCGCCTCTACCACGTCGTGGCTGGAAAACGTCGTATTGTCCATGACCGCCGTGATCGAGGAGTACAACGCGGACGGGATCGACATCAACTACGTGCACTTCAAATTAACGCCCGAGGAGTTCGCGGAATGCATCGGAAAACTCGTCACGCAGTTGAATGAGAGCGGCGCGATTTCCTTTGCGTCGATCGCGCCCTTCGAGGACGGCGGCGAAGTGGCCGGAAATTACCGGGCGCTGTGGAGGAAATACGGCGGCGTGATTGACTACGTGAACTTCCAATTCTACGGGTACGAGAAGCTGATGAGCGTAGCGGAATTTGTGGACAGATTTGGTGCCGCCATTTTTGCCTGGTTTTCCAGTGCCCATTTTCCGGTAGAGAATTAATACAAAGAAAGGGAGGCAGACGGTGAAGGGGTGAAATGACTACTTTATCCCTCAAACTAACACTCACTTAACCTTCAACTGACGGAAGGACTAACATTGGAAAGATTTCGAAAGTCAAGTGTCTAAATTGTCCAAATTAAAAGTCGAGGATCAATTATGGAAAATCAACATAGTCGGAGGACCATTGCTGGAATTAACTCGTTAAAAAAATTATGGTAAAATGAGTTAAAAACATGGTTAAAAAAATCGCTAGACACTCCTCGGGGGCAATCATTATGCTATGGACCCGTGTCCAGCATGCATGCTGGACACGGGTAACAGTGCCGTTAGTGGCACTGTTATGTTCCACTTTTTTTTTTTAAAATTAATTTCAGACCGCTTCGTTATAGGAGTATATGTTCATAATTTTATTATTATATGTTCATAATTGTAAGTTCATAATGTCAGAGCTCTATGTTCATAATTCCATAACAGTACATTCATACTTCCATAACTGTACATTCATAATTCCGTAACTGTACATTCATAATTCAATAACTGTAACTTCATAATTTTCGAAGCTCTATGTTCACAATTTTAGAGCTCTATGTTCATAATTTTATCACTATATGTTCATATTGTAAGTTCATAATGTCAGAGTTCTGTGTTCATAATTTCATAACTGTACATTCATAATTGCATAACTGTACATTCATAATTCCGTAACTGTACATTCATAATTCAATAACTGTAAAATCATAATTTTGGAACTCCATGTTCACAATTTTAGAGCTCTATGTTCATAATTTTATCACTAAATGTTCATAATTGTAACTTGTAAGTTCATAATGTCAGAGCTCTGTGTTCATAATTTTATAATTTACATTCATAATTCCATAACTGTACATTCATAATTGCATAACTGTACATTCATAATCTCATAACTGTACATTCATGATAATGGCACAAACGAATAACGCCATTAACGGCGAGACAAAATCAATTTTTTTTTAAAACTGAAATGACGCGTTTTCCCTGAAAATGACATTGTTTTGGACTCGTGTCCTCAATGCATTGTGGACACGGGTCCAGGGCGGCACTCGTGTATTTATTATTATTATTATTATTATTATTATTATTATTATTATTATTATTATTATTATTATTATTATGTACAAATTTGTTTAAAAATTTTTAAATTTTTAAAAAACTTGACAATTTTAAACTATTTAATACTTTAATAGTTAATACTAAAATATTAAATATTAACCTTTAAAAAAAAAGGTTTTGAACGCTTTAGAGTTATTTCGCTCAAAACAACGTCGTTTTGAGTGAAATTATCTATTAAAAAAAAACATTAGTTATTTAGCTAACTAGGCGGCCTAGGCAGCCTAGTCGACTGTCTAGACCACCGACTATTTTGATGATACATTAGGTGGCCGGCTGACACCTAACACCTAGACACCAATTAATCGACGCTTAGACACGATTTTTCCAACACGATTAAAAGAGTTAATTCACAAGAATGACAAATGAATATAAAATGTTAGGTATACAAATATACAATACATACTAATAACTTTTTTTATTGAAAAATAAAAATAAATTAATTAACCAATGACAGGTTAAACAACTTGGTTCTCCCTCACCTACCAGAAAAGGGGGAAACAAAAAACCCATCTCACAAACAAATTAAACCAAACAACATTAACCTACAAACTTACTTGACTCCATCTTCTACGAATCCCATTTGGTGCACTTTACAATTCATGCACCAAATTGGAAAAAACATTTCCTTAAATCCTAGAAAACAGGAACTTCTTCTAAAGAAAAAAGAATATAATTTTTTATTCTGAGTATGTCCTAGCTAAAGGAAATACTTTTAAGCCCGTAATATAAATTCTAATGTCTTGTTGTTCAATTGGTGGCTTGGACCATAGGCGATTTAGCACTAGCAGGGGAGTGAGGGGACATCAACAAATCATCCAACATAATCCTGCTGAACGACGTGCTGATCTGCAGCGCCCGCCCCCGGCACTGCCTCTTAGCGGCGGCGCCACCGTTCCGCTGCCGAACAAACGCTCGGATCCTCAACAGCGCCACCCGCATAGTATCATCGTCCATGTTCGCAAAGCACACCCGAAACCACCCCGGCTCGGCGCAATGGAACGAGCACCCCGGCGAGACATTAAGCTTAACATCGTGGATTATAATCCTCCATAGCTCCAGCTCCGCCTCGACGGTGGGTTCCCTTAATAGCCTCCTCAAATCCATCCAGAAAAACAGCCCCGCGGTGCTCTTCAGCGTCCCTATCCCCATCCCCGCCAGCCCCCGCGTGAACGCCCCGTGCCGCCTCCCCAGCCGCTCCGCGCTCTCCTGGATGAACTTCTCCACGAACCGCTCGTCCGACAGCATCGCCGCCATGAGGTGCTGTGTCTGGGTGGACACCAGCCCGAAACTCGACATCTTCCGGGCGCACCGCACCACGGCGTCGTTGTAGGAGTACACTATCCCCACCCGGAACCCCGGGAACCCCATATCCTTGGAGAGACTGTAGACGATGTGGACAAGGTCGCGGTTTCCCCAATCAGAGTAATCCGCTTCCTGGATTATCTCGGCGATGCTGACGAATTCCGGCTGGGAAAACACCGTGGACGCGTAGATTTCGTCGCATACTATGTGGATGTTTTTGTCGTTGATGAAACGTAGGATGTCCCGAAGGGTGTCGCGGTCCAAAACCGTGCCTAATGGGTTGGAAGGATTGTTCAATAGCACCCCTTTCACTCTCACATTTTCGGTTTGAGCTTTTTTGTAGGCTGCTTCTAATGCAACTTTGGTGATCTTGAAGTCGTTTGAACTGTCGCAAATGACTGGGTACAGCTTCGCCCCTGTTCTCCATCCCCAATCTCTGTTAAATCTGCAATTACATTCACCATATCTTAACTTCAATCCAACAAAATAAACAAATCAACTTTACATAACTTTTAGTTTATCCCTTAATTGGGTCCGCTCAGTACAAACGAGGATTAGTCTTGAGTATAGTACATGCTAAAAGTATCACTTATAAATTCATGGTTGCAATAGGCGTTAGGCGCTAGTCAGGCGATAGAGTAGCACTTAGACGGCCTAGGCGGCTAACTAAAAAAAGAAAAATAGTGCACGTGTGTAGATGCATATATGATATATGTCATATTATACATAGGCGAGCGTCTAGGTAGCCGGTCGCCTATACCGGAGCCTAGGAGAGAAATTCCCACAGCCTAGGGATGCCTAGCGTCTAGGCTGGATTTTTGCAACACTATTTATAATTAAAATTTACTCAAGACACTTTGTGGTCTAAAAAAAAATAATAATGAGTGGTAGATGGGGATATGCTAGATGACTTTCTTGTCTTGCATGTATTGCTGAGAAGTTATTTTCAAGTGCATGGTCCTTGTACTGTACATCCAATAATTTGTACACGGAGTCTAATTTTTTTTTTTTTTTTTTTTTTTCAAAATTTTGGAGAAACTTACTCCAATTGGAAAGTGACCCATTTGGCATCTGCCGACAGAACAATACAAATCTACAATGATTCTTAATTAAATAAATAACTGTACTTTATTAGAAACTACCTTTATACTTGAATGTACAAAAGTAAGTGTCTAACATAAACATTTAATATTAAAATTATAATTATATTAAAATAATTTTAAAAATAATAGATAAAACAAGTTGCATAAATTTTTATACCGGTCTCATTTTACATGTCATGTTTTCAATCCAACGTAACTATTTTTTTCTGACTTATTTTATTTAGTAATTTGTATCTATTTTAAAAATGTATTTTTTTGTATTTATATAATACAATTTCTAAATATATAAATTTTAACTTCTTTGACTCTCGACACCCACACAACATGCACGCACACCGCACGCAGTATGCACGCACATACACGCACAAATACACACACATAAAATATATAAATTTTATATTATGAAAAAAATTGAGTTTAAAAAAAGTTTAATTAAGTCACGTCATTAAATCAGACACATAAAATAAGAGCGAGAATGTATAAGCTAAATAATGAATTGAAGTCTTACGCTGGATAATATGGAGTTGGGACCAAGAAAGCATCTCCAGGATCAGCCAAACAGAAGGCTAGAATTTCGACGGCGCCGGTTGCGCCGCCGCTCATGACGATCCGGTCCGGGTCGAATGTTACTCTCTCTCCCCTCACTTTTCCCATGAATTTTGCCACTGCCTGCAAACACATCACCATTCATCGTATTTATAAAAACCATAAAAACAATGATTATAAATTGAAGTAAAACAAAATTAAAGTTTGTCGTACATTTCTGAACTCCGGCAAGCCATGATAGTCCTGAAAAATAGCGATTTCCTTGAAGTCTTCTGCTCCCTGGGGCGTGCAGATGGAGGCTTTTGGGTTGTTCACTACCCATTCTTGAATCAAATCAAAGCAAAGCTGAAATTTAAAAAAAAAAAAAAAGTTTTAATTTTCTGCCATTTTTTTTTTTTTTTGAAAAATTAAGGATGTTTTGCTGACGTACTCTGTTTTCTGCTAAGCCCATTTGAATAACCCCGCGGCGATTCGTGGATAAATCGAAAGGGTTATCCTCGTACGCCTTCCACCCCTCGAAATAGGCGGAGTTTTCGCCGTGTCCGTCGCTAGTTGCCATCTTCGATAACATTCTTGTTTGGTTGCTGGAATTGAAATCCATCGTATCTGAGCTTTGGTGTTCAAGAATTCTTTTCTTTTCTTTTTAAAAAAAAAAAAAATAATAATAATAATAGTAATCACAAAGGTATCAAGAATTCTCACCAAAAAAACAAAGGAATCAAGAAATGAAAGAATTTGCGAGAAATAAATGGAGTTGTTTTGAATGTTGAGAGACTTAATTGTAATGGAATGAGAGGAACAAATAAGATGGTATTTATATAGAAAAAATGGTATGATATGAAGAAGGTTCCCTGAAGTTTGGTAGATAGAATTTTAGTGCTTTTACACAAATTAAACCACTAATTCGTATTTAAAATGAAATGTCACATGGCTATTGCCCATTGGTGACAGTTGTACTAAAGTTCAAGTACATTAATGGCATTGAACTAAAGTCTTTGAAGGAGCTGACCTTAAATACATAGGACTCAATTGGGACTCGACACTTCACAATATTTTTGCCTACCCTCAAACTCAAACTAACTAAATGCTTCACTTACTTAACTATACAATTTGAACATCTATTGCTTCTTTGAAAAAAAATGCATTACTTAATAATAATTCAACATAACGGTTAACACAATTGTGTGTGTGCGTGTGTGCGTGTGTGCGCGTGGGTCGTGCGTGTGTCGCGTGTGTGTGCGTCGAGAGTCAATTAGATATCGGGCTCTAAGCGAGATTTTATGATATTAAAATGTAAATTTAAATAAAAATTGAATAAATGTATAATTACAATAAACAACTATTAAAGGTAAATTAAACTTTTAAAACGAAAATGCAATAAGTTTATATCAATAAACTACTTGAGGTAGCTTTTTCATTTTCAACTGATTAACATCACCAACGCAAGCCAAAATGAATATTTACCAAACACTCATTTTAATTGTTTGACCAAGTCAAACAGTTAAAGTTTGTCAAAGAAGCCAAACTTTGACTAATAGATCATTATCCAAACACCCCTAGCCCTTCATAGTTATTTCTTCAACAATTATCTACTTAGAATTTATTAGAATATAGAATTGCAACTCTCCTACCTAATTGTTAACATTATATTTTTCTTGGAGACTTGGGTAGGTGTAATTTTCAACCAACTTTTTAAAAATTTGACAATTTTATGCCAAATGTGAAGTTTTAGTTCAATTTTTACTAATTTGCTTACATGTGTAGTAGTTAATATTAAATTGTTAAAACAATTTTTTAAAAAAAAACAATTACATTTGAAAGTTCTACGTGCGTACCTTACCTAGCACATAATAAGTCCAAGATGTATTAGTAAAAAATTCAAGTAATTACACACTAGTATACCCAAGTCATTTCAATTCAGATATGCCAAAATTATTATTCATTTATTTTTGCATAGAGAATGCGATATTTCTACAATTGTGAAACTGATTTGACTTCGACTTTGGTAGCACCAGTAAGTTTGATTCTTATTTGAGAGAATGTCTAGTCCAAAACTTTTTAACATAACACATACATACATGAAACGATTGTTTAACCTTATAATTAGATATATACTACTATTTCCGTTTAGCATACACCATGAAAATATTAAAAAAAAAAAAAAAAAAAAAAAAAAGATGATTATACTATATGCATACTTAGTATTTTTTAATTTAAAAACAAATAAATAATAAATAATGAAATACAAATATAATGTCACAGGTTCGAGTCTCATCCCAATTTAAGGGTTCTCATATTATGTTAGATACGTAAGATTATAGTCATAAAAGAATTAAAATAAAAATATATTCTCCTTATAAATGAAACTTTTAGACTAAATTAAACTTTCATAATGAACATCTAGATGCTTAAGCTAAGGTTGATCAAATAGAATCATTTTGTTTTGTACTGAATAACCAATAAGTTGGTCAAAATTACAAAAAGAATTAAAAAAATTCAAATTTTAATATAAAATTCTCAAGTTCAAAAAGTTTCGTCAAAATTGTCACATATGTAGCATATATAAAAGTTAAGATTTTTTTTTTCTCCTACCAATATGGCTAAAAGGTTTTATTTTAGTGTGTGCCTTGTTGGATATGGTACTAGGGTTTATAAGAGTAAGGTCCAAATTAAAATATATGGCTGCCCTGTTTATATACGCAACCCAGTTAGAATTACAGCTCAATCAAGATTATTACTGGATTGAATATTATAATAGTTTATTGTTGAATTATTAATGTAATACTAGTATTTTCACCCGTGTGTTGCACGGAATGAATTTGTTATAATACTTTAAAAATATTTGAATCGATATACAAATATAAATTATAATAACGAATATTACTCAATTACCCGTGCGATGCACAGATAATTTTATATATATATATATATATATTTACATAATCAAATTAAAGATGAAATTATAAACAATTCTATATATTATTGAACCAACCTCGGGGGCCGGGGCCCATGAAAACTTTGTCGGGGTTTCCACAATGGGGAAAGAGTGCCATCATAATCAAGAAACATGGCGATCTTCTTCCCTTTGGGGAATTCACTATATCATCAATATTGTTGAATAGAAATATGAATTTTAATATTGTTGTCTTGTATTACGAATATGAATTTTAATGTAGAACTGTAATACGAATAGGAAAGTAGGAAACGCTATATTCTATTAGGAATTGTATTACAATATTTTATAATAATATTAGAATAGAAATTGTAATGTACAATTGTAGTACGAATATATAGGAAATCTTAATAGTATAGGACTATTTTGAGCGGGAAATTAAAATGGAGGATTTTGTTTTTATATATAGTATAGATTATATTCATTGAATTATTGATGTAATATTATATTTTCAAAGGTCCGATGTCCATTGGAGAATATTATATTTTTGAAGAATCAGATCCTACACCTATATAAAGCGTCCTAACTCCTAACCCAATCTTGAGGCAGGCAATCATAAGTTAATCCAAGCCAATTAAGACATAACTTTTCTCATCAGATTCTATTTTTTCATTTTTCCATTTTTCCTTTTTTCTTCAATATAATATTATAATCATTTCATACATACGATAGTGTTAGTCTGTCGTTGACTACCCTATCATCAAAAAGCCAACATGCATGCCTTATTTAATTTTCTTTTCGTTTTACTCAATATAAAATGCTGACAACTCGTCAAAAAAAAAAACAAAAAAAAAAAAACAAAATCATTAGTATATGTCATTTATGACATGTAAAAATTATTTTATTTTCAAACTTCAAGTAAAAAAATTATTAATAAAAAAAATTATATGATAGTGTTGGGAGAAAAATTCATTCAAAATACTATGATTTATTCTAAGGCAGCTGCGGAATTTGAGTATAAACCCGAAACTTTTGATTAAGTTAAAAAGGACTCGGACAATTTTAAGTTAGGTTGTTCGGATAATTGACTTGGTAATTACAAAATTTAAAATTTAATTTCACATTGAACTATCTTCTATCTATTGACTTTTTTAATTTAAATCGGTCAATTATGTATAACTTAGGCTAATTTACTTTATTATGATTCTTTGCAAGTTAAGATAACGAGATAAAATTTACCCAAAACATAACTATAAGTAAAAATTATAAACTTTTTTGTATCAAAGAGAACGCACCAAATTACGGCAAATTATGCCCTGGACCCGTGTCCACAGTGAATTGTGGACACGGGCCCAAAACGACGTCGTTTTTCAAAAAAACAACGCGTCATTTAGTTAAAAAAAAAAAAAAAAAAATTCGCGCGCTTTTTGCCGTTAACTGCGTTAACGACATTATTTTTTTTGGATTATGAATGTACAGTTATGCCGTTATGAATGTACAGTTATGCAATTATGAAATTATGAACACAGAGCTCTAACATTACGAACTTACAATTATGAACATATATAGTGATAAAATTATGACCATGGAGCTTTAAAATTGTGAATATAGAGCTTCGAAGATTATGAGTACAGTTATGGAGTTATGAATCTACAGTTATGGAATTATGAATCTACAGTTATGAGATTATGAATCTACAGTTATGGAATTATGAATGTACAGTTATTGATCGAATTATGAACAAAGAGCTCTAACATTATGAACTTACAATTATGAACATATAGTGATAAAATTATGAACATAGAGCTCTAAAATTGTGAACATAGAGCTTCGAAAATTATGAATGTATAATTATAGAGTTATGAATGTACAGTTATGGAATTATGAATGTACAATTATGGAGTTATGAATGTACAGTTATAGAGTTATGAACGTACAGTTATGGAGTTATGAATGTACAGTTATTAATAATATAGTAATAAAATTATGAACATATACTCCTATAACGAAGCTGTTTGAAATTAATAAAAAAAAAAAAAAAAAGGAGATAAAGAGTGCCTAACGACACTGTTATCCGTGTCCAGCAAGCATGCTGGACACGGGTCCAACGCATAACGATTGCCAAATTACCATATTATCCACATTCTAAAAAGATTATTGAACAGAAACTAAGTCGGCAAAATAGGATAGATCCAAAAGGCAAATGGGATATGCCGGTCCAATTTGGGAAACACTGAACCGGATTGATGGGTTAATTATTGATGAATCAGGAAATTTGAGAATTGGTTGTAAACCACTCGTGTATCACACGCGTGTCAGTCCTAATTTTTGCGTGTTGGACCCGAATTTTATTCCCATCAAATAAAAGTAGATTACACATGTTTCGTTGTTCCCAACTATGTGACTTTGTGGATATATAACGAGAAATAGCATTTGTACTCTTTTTATTTATTTATTTATTTATTTTTATTCTCACATACAAAATTTTATTGTAGATATTTATATTGGGATAATGAAAAAAAGTAGTTTATTGGTACTAACCGTCACATTAGAGAGTAAAATTTAGAAGTAAAATTTTAGAATTTATGTAGTAGAAATCTATGTGAAGATCTCTTAGCATATATAATAGGATGACGGTTAGCTTAAGTTTGTGCTTCCTATTTGATTCAAATATTAAAATGTTTTTTTTTTCTTTTAGAAAGTGAAATATATTCTCTATGATTAATTTTAATTGTTTTATTTACTAATAATTGGTCAATGCAACTCTTTATTCTTAGCTTATTTTCTTTAGTATTTTTAAATTTGATTTTATATGTTTAATACTCTCTCCATTCCATTTTATGTGTCTGATTCGATTAACGAGACTTGACTGGAGTTATTTTTAGTTCAATCTTTCATAAGATTAAGTTTAGTACTATTATACAAAATTTATATATTTAGAAACTACACTAAAAGTACTATTAAACACAAAAAATCAAATTTAAAAGTAAGTAAAAAATACTAAAGATAATAAACAAATAAGAAAAAGTTGGTTTGACCAATGAATAGTAAGTAGATAAGACAGATAAAATGGGGCAGAGGGAGTAGTATTTTTAATGTAACTTTTAAATATATAAATTTTATATAGTACTACTAAACTTAACATTATGAAAAATTGAATTAAAAATAACTGCAAGTAAATATTGTTAACCGAACTAGACACATAAAATGGATCGGAGAAAGTATATATTACGGCAAAGGATATTTGGTAGTAATGTATTTAAAATTTTATTTTTCAACTCTCTTTACATAAAAAAAAAAAAAAGACTTCACTTTATGTATAAAAAAATAACAATATAACTAACCTAGATAGGCTTACTTCATTATATTATGGTCATTTGTCGGCTAGGATAATAAAACAAGGTTTATTAGTATTATTCTTTCTATAGTATTTGATGTGTCTGATTTAATTAACAATATTTGATTTAAATCATTTATAATTCTTAATTATGAGAATGATTAGACTAAGGGTGAATAATGGGATGAAACCCTTATAAAATAAGGGAATGAGTTTTTCCATTAATGGGGTATTCCAAATCCATAGTAGTGTTTTAAAAACCAGTCAACCAAACAATAACAATCACTTTCATACTCATACCTGAGTGCTAAACCTGCCAACCAAACACACCCTTCGTGAAAAATACTATTCGACTCTTGAAATCTATTCTCACTTTTTATTTTTTTACACAAATTTTGGATGTAGACATCTTTCTTGGAGCCCACAGAATGATGATAACTTATCATTGTTTGTCATGTCATAAAATAAAAGTGAGAAAGTAGGAATTGAGAGTACAATCGTGCAAGTAAAAGAACTCATATTTAGTCTACCTCATGTTTCATGATTTGACTTGATCATCGTACTTGTGAGATGTGATCTGTTTAGGGCGTTTGGTTGGATGTAATTGAGTTGTAATTGAATTGTAATTCAATGAAGGCCTCAATTACATTGTTTGGTTGGAAGAAATTATAATTCCACCAAATTGCAATTCTCTCCTTTTGTTGAATTGCAATTCAATGCTTGTGGGAAAAGGAAAAATATAAGAAATGACAAAAGTATCCTTGGTGAGAATATATTTTATTGTGTGAACCTGAGAACCTGTGCACATGGACGAATTCAGAAAATCATCTGAGTGGGGGCGAAGATTAAATGGCGTTAGAAATGGTAATGACAAAATATCAAACAACCATAATAAGTCAAGCACCTTGTGCTCAGATGACACCTCTGTGGGGTCACAGGATCGAACCCCGGTGGTAGGGTATTCACTCTTTGGGATGCAGTAGTTAGAGAAAGTATAGAACATATACTACCTTGTAATAGAGTCAGTAGTATTAAACAAAAAAAACAACCATAATAAAATTAAAATACAAAATACATTATAAATTACAATAAGATGTTTTTTATAGATTACATGATAGTTATGACCAGAGCCAAAAATATATTTGAGTAAGGTGAAAATGTGAAAATATTTATTATAAAATATGAAACATAATCAATTAGATAAAATAATTTGAATAACACTATATTCATAAATATTTTTTAATTTTAATATCTTTTACTTAGATAATATTTAATTTATCTTGCGAAAAAATGAAAGAGATAGAACGAATGAGAGCAAATAAGAAAAAGTATTGCTAATGAGATTTGAACCTATAACATGACATAAGGCCTTTTAGCATCAAATTTGAAATTTAACTAACTAAGCTACTTAAACTATTGATAATTTTAACATAAATATAGATTTTATATAACATTTAATGCTATATATGTGTTTATATATACATACATATACATAAAGGGGTGAGATGGGGGGGGGGGGGGGGGGGGGGGGAGGGCAACTGCCCCCATATAGTGGCTCCGCCCCTGCCTGTACACACCCTTGATGTTGTGTCATCCAACGCCCCAGGACATGGTAAACGAAAAAGTCAACCCAGGACGCGGTGCACAACGTGTGTGCATTGTGTTTATAGTGCACTACGTACATACATGTGTGTATTGTATTATAGATGTTATGCACCGTCCACTAATATAGATAAATGGCTCAGATTGGTTCTTAGATTCGCACAATAAGGTAGGTTCTTACTTGTACATAAACTATATATATATATATATATATATATATATAGGAAAAAGTTCAAATGCGGCAGGACCTTCCCGTGCGGCGGGGTTTCAGAATACACCAACAGTGTTAACGAAAGGCACCAACAGTGTAAGGGAAACACATCATAATGAAATACAAAAATACACAACACACAAAAAAAAATACACCATATAACACACCACCCCTAATGGTGTATTTCCAAACACTGTAGGGTGCTTTTAACTCACACCTAATGGTGTGTTTTTGGTGATACGTACCTAATTTGTGTGTGTTTTTGTGGTGCATTTCCTAATGTTGATGGTGTATATTTGCTCAACTATTGGTGACACCGCACGAGAAGGATCTGCCGCACTTAAACTTAACTCTATTTCTCTCTCTCTCTCTCTCTCTCTATATATATATATATATATATATATATATATATATATATATATAGATAGATAGATAGATAGAGAGAGAGAGTGAGTCACTGAGAGTGAGAAAGAGATCGAGAGAGAGAGATAGAGGCAGATGACCAAAGTAGGGACACTTGTAAGTCCTATTATCTCTTCTCCCAAAATATCTCTTCTCATACAAGTAGCTAACCTAACAATGCATACGTTAAAATTCTGAGAAGAGAAAATTACACGTACTTTAATTTTTATTACTTATTTATTTTGTGCGTTGAAATGCTGTCATTTAATTATTATTTTTTTTGGGTGAAAGCTGTTATCTAATTATAAGATGAATGTATTTGCTCAGATCCCTTAACTATCTTTTCAGTTATTCGTAGATATGATTCTTTTATTTGCTTGGAGTTAACAAATTTGTGTTTAAGCTAAAATTAAGGTGGGATATTTTGATAATTTTAATTAGCACAACAGTACACTTTCTTCTTTCTTCTGTGTTATCGTTCGATTGACTAATAGTAAAGCAACAAAATTTCTTGCTCTCATATTTTTTTTATAATACTATTAACTCTATTATAAGGTAATATCTGTTCTATATTTTCTTTAACAACTACAACCTAAAGAGTCAATACTGCACTATCAGGATTCGATCTTGTAAGCTTCCCTCAAAGTGGGCCACAGAAGTATCATCTGAACACAAAGTGTTTGGCTTCTTACTCTCATATTGAAATTGAGATTTGTTTGCATGGTAAATGGAATAGCGAGCGAATTTACAATTGATGATATGATTAAGAAATTAATGGGGTGTTTGGTTGGGTGTAATTGAATTCAATTACAACACAATTTTTTGAACCCTTAAATTACAGTATTTAGTTGGAGATACGGAATTGCAATTCCCTCCATTTGTTGTTGAATTGGAATTCATGCCTCCCGCTTATAAATTCCAATTCAACATATCCTGGAAAGGAAAAAGATATGAAAATGACATTTTTGCCCTTAGTTATTATTATTATTATTACAATGGCATTTTAATTTTTATGTCACTTTCTTCCCTTGACATTCTCAATAATTCAATTTTTTTTTTTTTTTTTTTGTAAACTATGAGGTAGTCCGGGTCTTTCTCTATCCGTTTAATGGTCCAGGTCTACCCGACTAATCGATGTTCGCCGGGAGGCACGGGAGCAATCGAACCCGGTTTATTCCGAAATTCTCTTCTACAAAAAGAGATCATTTACCACTTGAGCTACCATGTTGGGTTATTCAATTCCTTCTTACCAAATAATGTAATTCGAATTCATACTCTATTCCCACCTTATTTTTTTCCACCAAATTATAATTTTTTTTTTAATTCCCGCCTATCAACCAAACGCCCTGTAAATATGTCCACTTAGGATGATCAGATCAGCCTAAAGCAAACGTCAGTTAGGTGCTGACGGAGAAAGTGAGAAGATCGTGGAAGAAGATTGAATCCAATTTGGGTTAGAAAACATGATATCAAAGAAATTTAATTAAGGCGTGTCAACCATGTGGGTGGCTTGGATTCCAGGGACCAGAAGAGTCAATAGTTAGGTCACGCGTGGACTCCGGTCGGATTAACTCTCTTTAACTATATCCAAAACAAAAACAAATAGAAATGAATGCCTTCCTTCCTGTCTAATCTTAACTTATTTTTTAGGTTACCTTATGGGTGAAAGTAGAAAAATGACTTTTGAAAAATGTTTTCTGGAAAATGAGTCATTTTTTAGAAAATATTTTTTTTTTTAGTGTTTAATTACATTCTGGAAAATTGTTTCTGTGTGTTTGGTTCATTTTCTGGAAATTGAGTAGAATTATATAATTAAACATTTTAATTATTTTATTTAGAATATTACAGTATGTATAATAATACTAGTATTTTATATGCGCGATGCGCAAAAAATATATGTCCAATATTAAAATCTTAATTATATTATTTTTTTTAAAAATAATAGGGTGTGTGTGTGTGTGTATACATACATACATATATATATATATATATATATATATATATATATATATATATATATATATATATAATTGTATAATTCATATTAATATTATTGAGGTAAGAATTATAGAAATGATAAATTACTAAATATAACTATGGTAACATTTTAATTAAAACCTAAATGAATTCAAACTTACCATTGAAGGATGTAAGAAAAAATATTGTGTATGCATGTACATGGTAATAATAATGTGGAAAGATAACAGAAATTATAACGGCAGGGATATTTTTGTCCAAAAAATTATGTAGTACAACTTTTATAGCACAAGGTACAAAAAAAATTAACGGAGAAAACGGACATAAACCAGGGGTATAACCTGGATTGAAGCTTATTATGTTTTTAGATACTAATAATATGATAATAATATAATAATAATTTTAAATATAATAAAAAAATAACTAATAATATATCAAAAATATTATGGTGGTGGTGGTGGTGTAGTGGTAGTGGTGTTATTTGTTATATAATAATAATAATAATAATAATAATAATAATAATAATAATAATAATAATAATAATAATGGTGGTAGTGGCGGCGACGGTGGTGGTGGCGGTGGTGGCGGCGGCAGTGGTATGGTGGTGGTGGTGGTGGCGACAATGGTTGAGGTGTTATGGTGGTGGTGGCGGTGGCTGCGGCGATGGTGGTAGTGGTAGTGGTGGCGGCGACGGTGGTGGTAGTGATGGTGGTGTGATGGCGGTGGTATGGTGGTGGTGGTGGTGGCAGCAGTGGTGGTGGTATAGTGTTGATGGTGGTAGTGGTTGCGGTGGTATGGTGTTGGTGGTGGTAGTGGTGGTGGTGTGGTGGCGGTGGTATAGTGGTGGTGGCAGTAGTGGTGGTGATGGTGGTAGTGAGGTGGTGGTGGTATGGTGTTGATGATGTTGGTGTAAAAGTTGGAAAATGACTTCCCCAAAAAAAGGGGAAGTCATTTTCCGTCAAAACAAGACTATTTTCCAAAGTCAACGGAAAATGATTTCCGTTGACTTGATTTTTCAAGCACATCCAAACAATAGAAATTTGAAAAATGATTTGCAGAACTCATTTTCCAGGTTTCCAAACACACCCTAATTAGATTTTGACTCTTTTTTTTTCGCTTTTCTTTTTACTGAAAAGTTCAATATATATTTAGGGAATAAGGTTCAAATTGGTCGCTGAACGTAACCTGAAAATGCAATTAGGCCACTGAACGAAAAAAATGTGCAATTAGGCCACTGAACACTCCAAATGTATGCAATTTCAGCTGATAACAGGTTACCATCAATTTTAACAGGTTATCCGCTTACGTGGTAGTTGAGTTGGCATTTTTAATAATTTTTGAATTTTTTTTTTTTTTTTAAAAACCCGGCCACCCCATCGTTTTATTTTATTTATTTTATTTTTTATTCAATTTTTTAAAAAAAATTATTATTAAAATTATTTAAAAATTATTAAAAATGCCAACTCAGCTACCACGTAAGTAGGTAACCTGCTAAAATCAATGGTAACCTGCTATCCAGTGAAATTGCATACACTTAGAGTGTTCAGTAGCCTAATTGCACGTTTTTGGAGTGTTCAGTGGCCTAATTGCACTTTTTTTTTTTTTTTTTTTTTCGTTTAGTGGCCTAATTGTATTTTCAGGTTACGTTCAGTGGCCAATTTGAACCTTATTCCTATATTTAGCTTGTCCCCAACGTATGCTGACTCATTTTAAAGAATAATCTCTATATCTCTATCTCTATATATATCAAAGCAACTCTCCGAGTACCTTTCGAGGGTACCATCCGGAGTAGTTACCTTTCGAAGGTATCATTCAGAGTAGTTACCTTTCAAAGGTACCATTCGGAGTATATATTGTTTGACCCTATGCTGATTAGGGAAATTTTTTCCCTCCAAAGTGTGAAAGCATTTATTGTATTCATATTAATTTATAAATTCATGTAATTTTAATTACAAATCAAATCAACATCAACATAATTATTAAATTAGTCAACATAACATGTCTATATCATTAATTTATAAAATATTACATATATTATTAAAATATTGCATGTCTAAATTATTAGCTTTAAAAGTTATAGAGCGAAATTAACACGTCCCTTATAGTCATAGGACCAGAAGTGTAATTTACTCATTTGTTAAATTAATAATAGTCTGTGCATCACACAGGACACTTACTAGTGAGTATAAAAATCAATATCTCTACATAATTTATCTATATCTATATATTGTTGAAAAAATAGCACAAAAATAGCATTATAAGTGGCTATTTTGTGGTACTTTTTGATTTGGGTCCGGTCAAAGTAGATTCGAATTCTTTGTAGTAAGACAAAGAGATTGATATATTGTACTCTCAAAAAGGATAATAGGTGAATGAGAAATTGATTTTTAAAGTAGACCAATTTGAGTTGGAAAATAAAGGTGGAAAGACTAGTAACGAGCACTTGTCCCACATTCGGAAATTTTCCAACAGATCAAGCCATTGTCCGAGCAGTGACCACTTGCGAGTGCCTACCTCTCGGACTTGGGGATTGAATGGTAACCATTCGGCCATGTGACTGAAAGGTCAGAATAAGTAACCTTCCGAGTACCTTTCGAGGGTACCATCCGGAGTAGTTACCTTTCGAAGGTATCATTCGGAGTAGTTACCTTTCAAAGGTACCATCCGGAGTAGTTACCTTTCGAAGGTATCATTCAGAGTAGTTACCTTTAAAAGGTACCATATATTCGGAGTAGTTACCTTTCGAACTATTTACGTCTCGAACCACTATTTGGAGTACCGTTCTGGGTACTAATTCAGATGTTACGGAATTAATTCCAATTTTGAATTTGAGAATTAATTCCCAGGTTAATGGTTGTCAATTATAAGGTTACAATGGCTGATTTTATTATCAATTTTAATGTCATGATTAAATGTTATTTAATCCTTCAACTCCTATATAAGCTTCGGTTGAGCACGTGATTTTAAATAACACACTGAAAAATCAGCCTTCTTCCTCTCAAAAAAAAAAAAAAAAAAAAAAAAAAAAAAAAAACTATGCTCTTCGTTCTCTTTTTCCTGTGTTCTAACCTTGTTCTCGTTCGTTGGGTTCTTTAATTTGAGTGCTCAAACTTAGAACCGTAGCTTGTTTTATCTTGGGAAACCTAGCTACAATCCTCCTAGCACCAAAGGGAAGTAGCAAATAAGGATTTAAGGATAGTATGAGTATCACACGACTCACGCTAACCTTACCCTTTCTCCTTTCGTTTTATTGCTTGTTATTTTTTGTGGAAATAATCTTTTTTTTGTAGGATTATAATCCTAACACACACACACACGCACGCACGCACACACAAATATATATATATATATATATATATATATATATATATATATATATATATATATATATATATATATATATATATATATATATATATATATATAACAGAAGTGATTGTGAAATTTTCACGCCCAAACTCAGGGACAATTTAGTAATATCAAAAGCAGTTGGCGTATGGAAGGGTTTTGACTTCCTTTGCCGAAACTACATTCTCAACGGATTATGTGATGTGCTATACGATCTACATATATCGCAAAATTGGCACAACGAAAGTGTTGTGGAAGCCTTGGATCACAAGTATAAAAGCGAGGATGCCAGCGCAAAGAAATTTGTTGTCGGTTGATTTTTTTACTTTAAAATGGTTTATTCCAAGACCATGCTTATTGGTCAAGGTGAAGATTTACAACTAATATTTGACGAGATCCATGATGAAGACATGGTGGTCAGTTATGCCTTCGAAGTGGCATCTGTAATCCACATGTTGCCTCCAGGTTAAAAGGACTTCAAGGATTACCTGAAGCACAAGCAAAAGGAAATGAACCTGGAGGACATGATCCAACGACTCCATATTGACGAGGGGAACATGAAAAATGATGGGAAAGGTCCCGTAGTTGTTGGAACTAAGGGCAACGTTGTGGAACAGGGTAAAAGCTCCAAGAATGCCAAGAAGGACAAGAAGAAGCTAAGTCCGAAAGGAGTCGTTACCAAGACTAATTAAGTTTCATGATAAATGCTTCAATTGTGGCAAGAATGGCCACATGTCATATGAATGCAAGGCTCCAAGGAAGAAGAACAAGAGTTCTGAAGCCAACATTGTTAGAGAAAGCAGTTAGAAGGAGGCTGAAATCAGCCTTTCGGCCACGGTAACAGAGGTGAACCTCGTGGGCTCCAACCATCCCCGAATGGTTTATCGAAACTGGTGCAAAAAGGCATATATGTTGCAATTGTGAGTTGTTTAGCACCTTTGACACTGTTGAGGGCGAGAAGGTGTGGATGAGAAACTCTACTTAGTCTACTATTGAAGGCGTGGGCAATGTGGTTCTGAAGATGACTTTCAAGAAGGAACTAATGTTGAACAACGTCTTGTATGTTCCAAAGTTAAGGAAGAATCTGGTGTCTGGCTTGCTGTTGAACAAGCATGGATTCCATATTCAAGTCAGATAAAGTAGTTTTGTCTAAACTAGGAATATTTGTTGATAAAGGCTATGTAACTGATGGGTTTTTTAAGCTCAATGTAACGCTCGTTATCATTAATAAAAACAAAGTTAATTCCGTTTACTTACTGGAGTCTTCTAATTTGTGGCATGATAGACTAGGTCATGTTAATTTTAATTCTATATATAGATTAATTAGCAGGAACCATATTCCTACGTTCCAAATTAACACAAATAATAAATGTGAAATTTGTGTTGAGGCAAAACTAACTAAGGCACCTTTCAAATCAGTTGAAAGGCAAACTAAACCACTTAAATTAATTCATAGTGATTTGTGCGATTCTAAATCGATACAAAAAGAGGTGCTAATAAGTATTTTATCACGTTTATTTATTATAGCACACGTTATTGCTATGTGTATTTGCTAAAAAGCAATGATGAAGCCTTAGAGAAATTAATTCTTTATAAGAATGAAGTTGAAAACAAACTTATCTTAAGATTAAGAAGGTTAGAAGCGATTGAGGTGGTAAGTACGAGGCACCTATTGGTGACTTCTGCACAAATGTAGATATCATACACGAGCGTACGGCACCTTACGCACCTCAATGGAATGGTGTTGCCGAACACAAGAATCGCACATTGAAATAGATGATGAATGTAATGCTTATAAGTTTGGGCCTACCTTTTAATTAAGGTACCCCGCAAGAAGTTCGTTAAAACTCCTTATGAGTTGTGGAAAGGTAAGAAGTCTTCCTACCAATACCTCAAAGTGTGGGGTGTCTTGCCAAAGTATTGGTGCCAACACCTAAGAAAATAAAGATATGTCTTAAAACAGTGGACTTTATTTGTAACACCCCCAAATTCTAATACTAAAACTTAAGGAAATTATAAACTTAAATAGTAAAATTACTCATAAAGTTCCATTCATACTAAGTAATAATTAAATCCTTTAAGATAGTCAAGGGGATGTTATTGCCGCAACTATCCACTCCCAGATAGCTGCAACCCAGAAAACGGGTTCTACAAGACCCAAATGTCTAGGCATCATACAAAACCAAACTTAACATCCTGAAGGACTAATAAAAGTCTACAATTATAAGTCTAAACCAGAATCCATAAATGAACATATCAGTCTCGAGGTACATCTAACGAAGGGATCACATCTAAATAGGGGAAGGTACAACTACTAGTCGCTCTCTCAATGCATGGATCAATCCTGACCTAAAAAGGGGTAAGTTCAAAACACATGAAACAAACAGTTAGCATAAAAATGCTAAGTAAGAACCACTCTGCCCCGTAAATAAGTACATTTTTAGTTTAGAAAATAGATCTACTTTTGTAAATAGGTTATACTCATAAAATCATAAATTTTGCAGAGGTTAGCTGAGGATTTTAGAAGTACGTTTTCAAATTATTTTTCAAGACATTTCTAGACAACACTGCACCAAAAATGACAATTCTCCAGAAAATAATTAAAGGATGAAAATTTAACAAGTATAGCTCACACCATAACAAAAAGGTTCACAAGACAAGAGTTAAAGTTCAAATCTAAAACATTGCATTCATATCACAAGGCATTCAAGGTAAGATATTATTTATTACAATAGGCATTTCAAAACATCGTTTAGATATGGAGAGATTTACAAAACGAAGTAGTATTGTCGATACATAAACATTTTTAAAAAACATAGATTTTCTCAAAAAATCATTCGCATACATATACATAGATAAATATAGTTGTGGATGAATTTAAAACACATTTCTCAAAACATTTTTCCAAGTATCACACACACACACACACACACACACACACACACATATGGAGGAATTCATATCTCAGTAGTGGGGCAAGAACATCACCGCACCGAAATCCTTGTGAACAGTAACTCCGTACTGAACACATCACAACCCACACTTTACTAGGGTGGAAACATGACAGCTACCTTAAGTTTCACACCCTCAATTGGGATTCCAAGCCCAATGAGTAGTAAACCAGCCCTAGTAACCTAGGATATTTTCTACCATGTTACTCATCAAACAAATATCTAGGATGTTTTTTACCAGATATATCTCAAAATAGGACCGTAGCCCTAGGTGGAGAGCTAGAGATCACCAAGGTCATTTCTCACATAAAGTATCCAAGATGTTTTCTACCAGATACAATTCACATATCCTCCAAAATACGTACATTTTTATAGTCATTTTCTCCAAAACAAAACATTTCACATATACCCTCCCAAAATAATATATTTTTGTAACATATTCATCCAAATACATTTTTATATCAAATACCCTCCAAAATAATGTAATTGTTTTCAATGCTCATTGCCCTTGGGCTATAAAAATATCCTTCCCAAATGTAACTCCAAAACAATACAATACTCATATATTCTTTGTCAAAGTAGATTTTCCAAACATGTATATATAACCCATTTTCAAAATAATGATTTCCCAAACATGACAATCTCAACACATGGTATTTTTAAAACCACAAGTATATTAACAAACATTTCCAAAACAAATAAGAATTTTACAAAATAGAATTTGTGCACAAAATGCACCACATTCATTCAAACACTGCCTAGGACCTAAATGGCTTTGCGGGTCCCTGGGATCTGCGAGTGAGTCCCGCGGCCAGGGACCTTATGGTGGAACTGTGAAGTTCCGCCATCAAGGCCACGCGATCTCACAGGACTAGATGGCGAGACCAAGAGTCCCGCTGCAGAGTCCCGCGGTGGTCGTGGGCTAGTGTGGCAGAATCGACAGGTCCGCCACACTAGCTCGTGGCCTTTTCGCGGGGATGGTCGACGGTAATTTTAACATTTAGTCACGCATAACAAGATAATTTTTTTATTTTCTGAGAAATACTAGAAAATTAAAATAATTTTTAAAAAATAAATAATTTTCTAAAAAATATTTTACAGGTTTTCAAACATACCCTAAGTTAAAGTTTAATAGTTGTAACGAGTTATTATTTCATTTCCTTTGCCAGGGAAAAGATTCAATATGATTAATAGTAGTATTTTTTTTATAGTACATTTTAGGCCGGTGGTAATTTTTTAAAATAAAAACTAGGAAGCCATATATCTGTTTTTAATTAAAAATAATATTATTTTAAGAAATTATGAGTCTGAAATTAAAGATTAATATAAATAAAAGATCATCTAATAATGATATTTAATCGTAATTAATGCTTTTTTTAGTATTTATCGGCCCAATAATAAATGGAATCATACAAATAAATATAAGAATAATCATCCAATGATATTTAATGGTTCCGGTAAAATCATATTCCAATGTAAAAAATGAGAACTTATCTCTCTCTTTCTCTCTCTAAAGAACTAATTAGGTGAAGAGAACTTATCTCAACTCTTCATGGTTATGATCTTATCATAACTAACTAGGGGCAAAATTATAATTCATTAAATTTATAATTAATCTACTAGCAGTTCAAAAAAGATTAAATTAATACAAAAAATTGATTCACAACATCAACATAAATGAAATGTCTGAATAAGTTCACACTTTTTAAGGTGGATGTTCTCATTTGAACTCTTCTATATATATATAGGGCCGTATTCACGTTAGAAAGAAGTCTATGGTATGAAATGCGAATTCATTTTTCAATTCCACAAAATGAAAGAATTTAAATTCCACTGAATTATAATTTTCTCTAAAACAAAATGTGGAAAATTTTGCATTATTTGATGAATGGATGAAAGTTATTCTCAAGCAACTACTTTCATAAGATTCTTTTTCTATATATCAAAAAATTCTAATTTTACAAAAGGCACCGGTTCTTACCATAGGTTTAGGCTCTGTTTGGCAACGCTAAGCTAGGAGCTTATAACTTATTTTAAGCTACTAATAAGCTATAAGCTTTGTTTGGTAATGTTCCCAAAATAAGCTCCTAGCTTAAAATAAGAGCTTATTTTGAAACGCTATTTTAGGTAGCGTTTCAAAATAAGCTACTAACTTCCTAACTTTTTTTCCATCTTTACCCTTATTATTTTAAAGTAATGACATATTTTAACCTTATGAATTAAAACCCTTTCTTTTCGCATATCAAAACTTTCACATCAATCCCTTCCTTAGTCTTGTTTCCTGCTAAACAATTATGTTGAAACAATTATTATTATTATTATTATTATTATTATTATTATTATTATTATTATTATTATTATTATTATTATTATTATTATTATTATTATTATTAAGGAGATGGAGATGAAGGAGATTCGCAACAATATTGCTACTTCATTATGGGATGCTAGATCATGATCATGCTAATAGTTTTATTTTAAAAAGTGTTTACTTTTTTTTGGAAGACGAAATGCTAAATTTTAATATGTAAATAAACTAATTTAAATTTTATGAAGATGTCCATTTTAGTCATTTTACATTTATCAGCTTATCAAAAAGCTAATTTTACCAAACACTTTCGATCATAACAGCTAACTTAACCGCTCTTCAATTTTCAGCTCCGAGCTTATAGTTTTTCAGCTTTCAGCTCCTTTTCAGCTATCAGCTCCCAGCTTATAGCTTTTCAGCTAGGTTTGCCAAACAGAGCCTTATTGTATATTGATTGGTATAGATGGTGTGATTTAATTATTTAATTTATTCTTGTTTAATGTTAGTATAGGTTTCTTGTCAAACATCCATTAATGGTACGCTGAAAGGTCTATTCACCAACTTTTGAAGAATCCTAGTCAAATGTTAAAATAAAGTAGTTTAGAATCCACTCCAAGAATTTTAAGGTATGCCCTTTTGTTTGGTCAACTCAATTCTAACCAGCACAATAGTACATAAGTCAACCTTAAAAAACAACAATTTATAAGAAGTCAACCTTTCATTGTTAATTTTCTATAATATTAAGGCTTTTTTTTTTTTTTAATATCCAGGTATGGATACATTAATTAAACGACTTCTAATCTTAAAAAAAATGTTGATTTGACTTTTTTTTTTTTCTTATCCAAGCACAATATGAATTGTAATTTATTTTATCCAAGCACATATTTTATGATTTTTTTTTTTAAAATTTTAGTAAGTGTGAATCGTGTGATCAAAATAGTTTGCACGAATGATTTTGAAATGTCAAACGTTTTTTTTCTTTTATTTATTTATTTAATTCTTGTAAATAATAATCTAGCCGTCGAGTTTTTCATGTTTTGGAGGGCAATGGGTAGTTGGTGAAAAGTCTTACATGTAATGGGGAAAAAAGAAAATCCAATTTGTCACAAAAACATAATAAATCTATCATTCCTCTCAATCACCATTTGAATGTCCACCAACTTAATATTCAATAAAATTATAAAATTATTGTTTATTGGTCAGTTTATGCTATGGACTTCTATTTTTTTTTTTTTAGTACTATTGACTCTGTTACAATAGTATATGTCCATAGATATTTTCTCAATCTAGGGTCGAACTTATGACCTCTCATTTGGGAGAGCCAAAATTATGCAGCTTGACCACAAGGTATTTGGCTGAGCTTGCAAGCTATTTAATAAAAACTTGATTTGAGTTTGATCAAATTTGAATTCAAATTAAGCTCAAACCACCATATAAGTAATTTCCTAAAATTTGAATTAATTTTTTTTTTACTCATAACTCATCGATAAGCTCATGAAACCCGCACACATAATTTGAATTGAACTCGAACTCAATTCGAGCCAATTGAAGCGAGCTCAACCCTGCGAGCCAAATTCAAGCTAAAAGAATTATTTTGCACTTAAATTTGAACCTACCTATTTTAAGCTCTGCTCAACTCGTTTGCACCTAATTTATGCTAACATAATAATCATAGAAGAGGTCATAAAATTTCTCATAATAAATGAAGAACAAAAATAATAATTTAACTAATGGATAATATACATGTCAGATAATTGAGTATATATATCTCTTATATTATTGTCAAAGGTACTATAAGAGATTATAAACTCTAAAAAAACACATAAATTTACTATTGAATTACTAAACCACAAGACAAATTTAACTTCCCATAGTAAACATGGAGTTATCTAGACTCATTCTATTGTCAAACTAAAGAACTTTTAATGGTATGAGCTCTGCTCAAACAATTAATTTTCTGACTGGAAAAAATATGTTCAAAATATTAAGAGATAAGACACAAGAAAAATGTAGAGCACAGTTGTATGACCAAAAGAATATAATGCATACCAACGTGAAAGTAAAGAAAATTGTGGAAAAATTGGACATAAGAATTAACAAAAATGACCAAAAGCTTCATTGACGACTGCAAATGGAAGCATGGTAGGAAACAGCAGTTTAGACACCTACAAATCAAACATGTACAATTCACCATGTGGTCCGCATTACTTATCAGGTAGCAAAAACACATTTTGTAGATGTAAATTGAGTCAACAAAGATTTTTAGAGTCGTCGCGTTTTGTTTTGTATTGTCTAACTTGATGACAACAACATAATGGGATAGAATAGTCATATCATAACTCTCCATCCGACACAACTAACTTTATATGTGAATACGGGATGCAAACTGAGTGAACAAAGATTTTTAGAGTCGTCGCGTTTTTATTTTGTATGGTATAACTTGACAAGGACATGATGGGATAGAATAGTCATACCATAACTCTCCATCCGACACAACTAACTTTATATGTGAATACAGGATGCAAACTGAGTGAACAAAGATTTTTAGAGTCGTCGCGTTTTTATTTTGTATGGTATAACTTGACAAGGACATGATGGGATAGAATAGTCATACCATAACTCTCCATCCGACACAACTAACTTTATATATGTGAATACGTGATGCAAACTGAGTGAACAAAGATTTTTAGAGTCGTCGCATTTTTATTTTGTATGGTCTAACTTGACAAGGACATGATGGGATAGAATAGTCATACCATAACTCTCCATCCGACACAACTAACTTTATATGTGAATACGTGATGCAAACTGAGTGAACAAAGATTTTTAGAGTCGTCGCATTTTTATTTTGTATGGTCTAACTTGACAAGGACATGATGGGATAGAATAGTCATACCATAACTCTCCATATGACACAACTAACTTTATATGTGAATACGTATGTTGTATTGTCTAACTTGGTGAAACAAGATGTGATGAGATAGAATGGTCGTATCATAACTCTCCATCTAACAGAACTCTATACATGAATACCGATATGCAAAACTCTATACGTGAACACGTATATGCATGTATATATATGTGTGCAAAGGAAGGACACCTTCTCAACAAATTATACTATGGATCATATTGTAATGTGGATCACGGATAAATGTTCATTTTTAATATATTGAATGTTTATTTTTAATATATTGAATGTTCATTTTTTAATGTACTTGGTAAGGAATAACCCTAGGGTATACGATCCCTCTCATACCATACACTTTATCAGTACCCGATTGTGTCACCTAGGGAGATCGTTCCCGATCTGGACCGACCGTGAACCCGACCCCAGATACAGTATCTAAACTAATTAACAGTTGTGAATCACTGATAACGTTTCGCTGCCCAGAGGAGATCCCAATTATATTAGGTCGGGAAGATCTTCCCGAGCTAGATTGATCGGCACAAAACTTCGCATAGATTTGCCCTGTCTTAGTGGGTAGTCAGAGATCTAAGCCCACGCGGCCGACTGTTCACTATTCCCGAGTGCGCCAATTGCATGCGCAACATGTGACGGACATGCCGAGAGCCCGACGTGTCCCCTTTCACTCCCTACAAATACCGCATTAATGGCGTATATGAAGGATTTTGGCATCTTCTATTCACTTATATTTTGCTCAGGACCATCTGACCCCTTTTACAATACCTGAGCATAAAGACTTAAACCAACAAGCAAACTACTAGCGGACTCTCTCCTATAGTCCGACCTTGTACGCTATACGTATTTGTGGAACTCGCTATATTTACCACATCAGGACTGAAAGTTCATTTTTTGGTCACAAAAAATGAAACAAAAACTGAACCTTCAATGTACTAAAAATGAACTTTCTATATACTAATAATGAATCTCAATGGTTTATTTTGTAAGATGGAACATGGTCCATGGTATAATGACTACACCATTCCTCACCCATCTCGCAAATGTCCAAAAAACAACCATAAGATGACCAAACAAAACTAGGGCAGCTGGGCAGCATAAGCAGAAGAAGCCATGGGGTGCAAAGATAGCAAATATAATGATGAACAATAGATCTATGGCAGATGTTTATAAATAAACTGATTAGAGAACTATTACTCCTCATTCTACACTTAGATATATGCTCATGTTTACTGTTTTACAACACACACACACCTATATTGGCGAGAATATTTACAAAGACGAGCAAAAAAACAAAGAAAAAGCTCTGAAACCATCATGCTTAGAAAGAAGGGTCTGAATTGGAAGACCTGGGAAGCTTAGATCCATGCTCTGGTGCGAGATTTTCAGAAGCAGCCCGTTTCGGTCTCAGCTAAAAGAAGAGAAAATAACAATGAATCATAATGGTGAAGAATAATTCACAAAAGAACGAGCCATCGATTTGACTGTAACTATCCTAATTCAGGTGTAATTCGTGCTAACCTTCTCGTCAGCATGCTGGTACAAGTGTCTTACAAGTATATTTTTTGCTTCGGAACAAATAACTGGAAATGTGAAGCAAATAAATCAGACTTTTAAAGCTACAAATATCAAATAGTCTCAAGTAATGAATGAAATTTTTCCAAATGAAAACTCCAAACAGTGCATCATGGTAAATGACAAAGCTACAAGTATCAGACACTATCAAGTAATGAATGAATGAATGAATGATAGAAAAAGGAGAGTTGAAGTTGAAGAAATTGGGACAATGCATCATGGTAATCCACATAATGCATCATTTAATCAACAGAAAATAATAAAACATCAAAAGCCAAAACATTCAATGCATGAATTAACAATGATGATGAAGTTGAAGTTGAAGAAATTGGGACAATGGAATTTAAATATTTAGTTCTATTTTTTTTTTTTTTTGTTAATTCAAGTAACTTTAGATTTTGATGTGTAACTTTATCACTTCTTTGAATATTTGTAAGCTACGTCATGCTATAGTTCTCTTTTTAATTGTCATTTTTCGCTGATAATTGTCTTTTTCAGTTCCATATACATATTTGAAGCAAAGAATCCAATAAAGTCATGATGTAATGCAAAAACATGGTCATCCAATCAGGATGGTCCAAAATTGTTCTTAAAAATGATTCATCTAATTGCATTAGACCCAGTTTTAAAGCTATTTACTGAAAATTTTGCGGTATGCTTAAATGACATCCGCATCTATATCAATAGCACCTACAAGAAGTGTTAGTTTCACTCCAAAACAACAAGTCATACATTGATCCAATAAAGTTCATCTTTATGATGGACCATATCTTGGTTTTGAGATTAGCATGGAAGGAATACATGTCAACCAATTGGGCTATAATCTAAGATTGGGTCAAGGTTACTCAATTGGGCTATAATGCACATGGGCCAAACCACACTAAAAGACTAATATGGCCCTGTTTGGTAAAATAGTTAGCCTATCAGCCAATTTTGGCTTATTTGGCCACTATTAATTGTTTGATTTGGTTAACAAATCAAAATAAGTGTTTGATTAATTAGTTTTTTTTAAACTCCAAAATGCTAAAATTCAAAAAGCTGCTCAAAGCAACTTTTTCAATTAGCTTTTTGAGAAAAGAAATTATACCAAACAGCTATCCGCTAACAGCTAATTTACCAAACACCTTTCTACAATCAGCTAATGTTATCAACTAGTTATACCCTCTAATTAACCCAATCAGCTAACAGCCATTTACCAAACAGGGTCCAATCAATTAGTTAGTCTAACCCATGACCTTATAAACCCATATGTTCTCTCTTATTTTTTCAATGTAGGACTCTTAACAGAATAAAGTTCATCGTTATGATGGACCATATCTTGGTTTTGAGATTAGCATGTAAGGAATACATGTCAACCTGGAGAAGACTGAAGCAATTCTGCCTAAGACAATAACAAAGATTAGGATCTTTTACAAACTAGCATTGTGTTATAAGTGCCTTATCTGGAATTTCAAAACCATTGCAGCACCGCTCCGTTGTTGCCTAATGAAAGGTATGCTCCAGTGGAGTAAATACTAAATACCACGAAAGCAGCTTAGGTAGATATAATTATGAAAAGTGAGATACTTATTAAAAGAGAAAAGGAACAGCAAAGTGAGTAACACTTTCTAAGAGACTTTGGTCAGTATGATTATGAACAGTGATATACCATAATAGAGTTCACTAAAATTAAATAACAAGAAACATAGCAATGTAGAGATATGGCTATAGATTAAATAAGTCATATGTCTGCAATACCTTGATTGGGCGGTGGGAGAGTTCGATCATGGGTAGGACGGTAAGTTACTGGTGTCATTCTCTAAACACAACAACAACAAAAAATTAGAATGATACAAGTCCAATGTCAAGATTTGCTTTCTATTCTAATCAGCGTCTAAATGGAGCTGACTTTTCATGTCCAAACTAAAACGTCCCTCTTCTCACTAGGTTCTGTGAGAACAACAGAATTAATATAGTTGGCTAAGAAAATAAAGATTCAACGCATATATTGAAATAAGACAAGTGATATAAGCTGCCAATAGCATGATTGTAGTAAATCAAACATCAACGGTGCTACATGTCATATTGAAATAAATTGTGGCTTAAGCAAACTCGGTTGGCTACAGAATTCTTTTACTTATTAGATTGATCACATAATAACTAAACAATGCCAAGCAATCAAATGAGTAAAACAAAGTGCACGTCACACAATTCTTTTATTGATTAGATATTTTTTGGTCAGACCACGAGATGTCCTGAACAAGTCCTAATTGTAGGAGGCACCTTTAAGCTCATACCATACTCAGACTAATCACCATTCGCACCGGGCCGGCCCAATTAAGGGGCAAAGTGCTGTCCAGATTGGTTTTTCCATACGAGAGGGGGTTCGAACTCCCGACATCTCTTAAGGGACCGCCAAACAAGCTGGTTTTTATTGATTAGATTGATCACATAATAAAGAAACATGCTTACAAAACCCTTAGCATCTTTAGGATATACCACTTTTTAGCAAGATCCAACAATGGGCATTATTTCCTTTATCCCTTCAGATTTTTGCCTTACAACCATAGATGCATCAAGCTAATTATATGAGTATAGCCAGAAACCAAAAGGAGACAATACTCCAAATGCACAATAAAGATTCCAACTTTTTTCTGCTCAACATTTTCTTCACCCATACAGAATTAAATTAACACCAGAGAAATGAATTACAATCTACAAACTATTCAGAAACTAAATTGCACAATTTTATTAAAGAAACACAAAAGGGATCAATAGATTCAAGATTGAACGAAGAAAACCCAGAAAAAAGGGGAGTAAAAATGGGGAAGCGCTTACGGAAGGGGCAGAGGGATCAGAGGGTCGGAGCTGGCTGAAGTTGTGAGGGTCAAAAGACGGCCAGTCACCGAACACTGAACCCATGGATCGAGCAATGCCGGACCACGCCGATATGGATGGAAGAATCGAGAGAAGAATGGCGTTTCAGAATATGGCGCTCGCAAAGATAGGCCTCAGACGGCCTTATTGCTTTTTCCTGTGGGCTATTGGTGTTGGCAAAAATTAGCCTTTACGTATTTATATTTATGAATTTTTAATACCTAATCTTGAAAATTATTATATTCACTCAATTTTGTTCATTCACCATCAAACTTTCTTTTAACTAATCAACACGCTAAACATTTTATGTACAGAATTTAATTTTCTTATTCTCCCAAAAGGTTGAATCCCCAACCTCATTGGTTTTTCACGCGTTCAACCGATGAGAATGAAGATTAGTTTGAATATAGTACAGACTTAAAGAGACCTCCTACAATTAGGGTCTGTTCAAGATATTTCTTGACTTAATTAAAAAAGAAAAAAGTTTCTCACGCCCCGACTTGATAGAACATTAGGAGAATGTAAATCATGATAACTCAGTTGAACACAAAAGTTAGATATATGATGTTTTGTTTTCTATGATACAACTAAAGTGAACCTCAAAATTCTTATATGAAGTTTCATTGTCATATTTATGATATAATTACTAGTTATAAGCGAGTAATTTATACAAAATATCATTGATAACTTCGATTATTATCATACATCCTATATTCATAGCTAAGATATCTATAAATAGATTTGATTATATTGATACCAAAGGCATAAATAATTAGTCAATATACTGATTAATGAGTAATAATTTCTCAAGTTAATACTATTATTAGGGTTATAGGAAATGACTCTTGTGTAACCAATCATTATTGTATGGACCATGGTCCATACAAGTTGTGTGGACCATATTTTGTATACTATAAAATAATGTACATTCAGTAAAAAAAATAGTGTATATTCAGTACAAAAATAATGTACATTTAGTATATTAAAAACGCACTTTTTGTTATGATTCACGTAACACTGTGTGGATCATAGCCCTTGCGTAACAGCTTAACAACAAAGCCCATTGGGGATAAGTTTTAGTGACTCATCGTAAGTCTAACCCAAAGATATAAAGAAACAAAATAAGTTTTTTTTTTTTTTTTTCTAAAATCATGCATAGTAATTTAACACAGTAGCACACTACAACAAGATAGACAATATCAACACCTAGGACATTGATCTAGTGAAAAAAAAAAAAAAAAAAAAAGTACAATTTAAAACTTATTTTCAGTGACATGGTAGAGGTTCAATAATTCTTGCTACGAGGTTAGTGTAGGTTTTTTGTGCACAAAAGTATATGCTTCATGTTACTCCTCGACTCCGACTATAGCAATATAATACTAGGAGGAGTCTTAGCTGGTTGATTAAATTATATTGTCCCAAGTAGGGGTTTGATTCTTACTACGGGTTAGATTCTTTGTGCACAAAAGTTGATAGCTTGGTATTAAGGCTCGACTCCAACTATAGCAAGCAAAAGTGTATATCTTGATATTAAGTATCAACTCCAACTATAGCAATATAATACTTAGAGGGTCTTAACTAGTTGATTAAATTATATTTTCTCAAGTTGTGTTGCATAAATTACCCTGGTCATATGGACTCCATTGGATGATGGTAATTAACTTTAATTTTCTTTTTCTTTTGTTAGAGTATAATTTTTACGTTGAGAAAATCCTTCTAGTTATAATAACTTGTTGGAAGGTACTTTAGAGATGGAGTCTTGACAATATCTTGATGAAAGAAACATTTACAATGCTTCGTGTAATAACCGTTGCCCATGAAAACCTTAAATCATGTTTTTGCTAGAGGGAGTTCTACTAAAAAAGTTTGGAAAATTTTTTGCAAACCCTACCTATAGGTACTATGTTGTATAACATATGTATTTGTTAAATTTTCTCCAACTTGTTAGTACGTCCGCTCTTTTTCTTTTCTTTTCTTTTTTTTTTTTAATAAAAAATAAATTGCTAGATCTTTGTTGACTTTTGTAGTTTGGAGTTTATAGAGACATAGGTAAGGTAATGCATAGGAATGATCATATCGCTCTTGTATAGATCATTAAGCAATTATGTTATGTTTTCCTTGAAGAGTCTCATTAAGTAAACATGGTGATGCGAGTTGTCATAAGAGGCATATTTTTACTAAGTAATTACATGTATATTACCAAGTTCCTAAATTGATTATTGTCTTTTAGAATTATTTTAGTGATTTATGATCAACTTAACCTAGTTAGTAGTTTGAGGGACAAATTAGAAAAAGTGGTTGTAAGTAACCTTATTTGAGGTATGGTTAGTCAATTCATTCAAGTATATGCCCGTACTTTTTTGTTACAAAACTTATAATGAAGCAATCGTATATGGTGTTTACATTTTTCTTCATATACTTTTACTTCATTAGAAGTATTTTGACCAAAAAGTACAACATATCTTTGGATGAAATTGTGTTAGAATTGAAGATTATTATAAATCATAATATAAATTAATCTAACCTCATTCTAATGTGGAGAGGTTAAATGATAAATGAAACCTCAAAAATGTCAAATGATTGTAACGTTTATCCATTACTATTATTATAACATTAGGATAAGTTATGATAATATTCAGTATTTGATATGTGGTGCAACACTAATAACCTAATAGCTAGACTACCATTATGATTAGGAGTCTGGTTAGGGTTTAGGAGACCTAAAGACAATCAACCACAATGATGGCCAGTGGTTATATAAGGTCACTAGTCCTCTCACTGCTCACATTACATACCTCATACACCATCTAGAGAGAGCTGAGTAAAGTGAGAGACAAAATACTCGTTATCTCTGCAGCAGTCCGGATCGCTCAACCGTAACAGAAACTATGGCTGGAGGTTAGTCGATCCTATGATCGCATATTCTTTGATGCATGTGATATTTTAGTCTAACAATGATATGATAAAACTTTCTAAATATTGTCTTATAACCATTATTTAACACGCCTCAGGGTCATGGTTACGGCATGGTGTGTATGATTATCCTCTACACATCAATTATGATTTTTAAGCTATTTTATTTTGATCTTGTAAACATTAAAATTAAGCTTTGCCATCTTCATAAAAGTTGTAACTCTTTGAATGAACTAGCTTTCAAATTGTTGTTGGAATGACTCAATTTAAACATTCTTACATTGATATAAATCATATAATCAAAACATTGTGTAGTGGCTTGATAAAACAACTTGTAGAATCTCTTGCAAAACCAACAACATTGATGATGAAGAGCCAACCTGCTTCTCCCAGGCCGTCAAACTGTCACATTGGCGCACCACAATGGATGACGAGTTCAATGCGTTATTACACAATAAGACATGGCAGCTCGTTTCGGCTCGAAGTGATATGAACATAATTGGCTGCAAATGGGTCTTTCGTGTCAAGAGGAAAGCCGACGACATTGTCAAATTCTACAAAGCACGACTAGTAGCCAAGGGCTTTAACTAGGTCCCGGGAAAGGACTATTTTGAAACATTTAGTCCAGTGGTCAAGCCGACCACTATGAGGTTTCTGTTGGCCTTTGTGGTTTCCAACTGTTGGACGATGCGCCAACTCGATGTCCATAATGCTTTTTAAAATGGACACATTATGGAGGAGATTTACATGCACCAACCACCGGGCAACATTAATCCAAATACGTCTGATCACGTGTGTAAATTGCGCCTCTAGGGCCTGGTTTACACGACTACATAACTTTTTGGTGCATGTTGGTCTCCGACCCTCCAAAACAGATGTATCCCTCTTTATCTATGATTATGGCCGATCCCGAGCATATATCCTTGTTTACGTTGATGCTATCTTATTGCTGGGTAATGATACAGTTTTGATTAATGATTTACTGTCTAAGCTCTCTTCAGCATTCAAGATTCGTGACCTAAGCAGGCCACGATTTTTCATGGGTATTGAAGCTGTCTACAGTTCTGAATCTATGGTACTATCTCATCGCTGATACATGTTGGAGCTATTACGCAAATCTGGCATGGAGTCCTACAACCCTCTTGCAACATCAATGACCTTGGTGTCCTCCAATGCAACCGCGACGACGCTACCCCCTTGAATGATCCTACTCCATATCGACAGCTTATTGGGTCCCTTACGTATCTATTGATAACTCGCCCCGACTTGTCCTTTGCGGTGAACCGGTTGTGCCCATTTATGCATAGCTCGACCGTAGGCCACTAGGCCTCTCTCAAGCGAGTACTCCGTTATATCAAGGATACTTTGGACCTCGGGCTACGGTTATCATTGACACGAGCTAGCATAGCTCGACCATAGGCCACTAGGCCTCTCTCAAGTGAGTACTCCGTTATATCAAGGATACTTTGGACCTCGGGCTACGGTTATCATTGACACTGTCCCAGCTCGTGCATGCATTCTCTGACTCCGACTGGGCAGGTTGCTCTCGTGACAGAAAATCAACGGCGGGCTTTGCTGTTTTTCTAGGCCCAAACTTGATCTCATGGGTCTCACGAAAACAACGAACTGTTGCCCGCTCATTAACCGAGGCGAAATATAAAGCATTGGCAAATGTAGCTGCGGAAGTCGCTTGGATTCAATCCCTTCTATGTGAACTTGGCTTGCAACAAACCACTACCCTAGTTCTGTGGTGTGACAATTTAGGGGCGACATATCTGTGTGCTAATCCGGTTTTTCACGCCCGAACGAAACATGTAGAAGTAGACTATCACTTTGTTCGTGATAAAGTCTCCACAGGTGCACTAAAGGGGAACTTCGTCTCGACAAACGACCAGTTAGCAGACATTTTCACCAAAGCTCTACCAGCTCCACGTTTTATTTGATCTACGCGTCAAGCTTGGCATTGTCCCTTGTCCATCGTTAGCTTGAGGGGGTGTATTAAGTGAGTTAGAGTCTTTAGGAAGGTTTTGAATATTTCTTGGTTTGTTATGGTTTTTTAGCTTAGTCCATGCTACTCTTGTGTATAAATAAGTTTGTAATGTCTTTTGTTTATGCATTGAATAATAACCTGATCACTCATCGAAGGCGACATAGATTCGTTGTGCAAGCATGAAAACTAGGTTATGACCGGTGGGATGATTGCATGACTCACGATTTACCTCTGCAATCCCTCTAGGGACGGGGTCGCAAATTATGCTGTGCAACTGAATGCACCAT